TTAGGAGTTTGGAGGTCAAAGCATCAGGGAAGACAGCTTCTTCCAGCTGACTTAAGTATTCAGGGGAGGTTCCGACAAGTACAGGGGTAAGAGCGAGTCAGCTCAGGCTGAGGAGCCGCCCGAGCGACGGCACACAGGGAGCAAGCGTAGGCGTCTGTATGCGGAACAGGGGAGGAGGTGTTTGACTGATCCTTGAGTATTTCAGAAGTCATATCAAATGAGGCTCTGAATATCAGATTAGCCAGATTTTAGAGAGTCTGAAGTCTTAATCTAAGAAAAAATTTGTATTTTTATTTAGCTGATAATGGAAGCCATTGAAAGAATTTTAGATTTTCAGTCTTTGATCCCTGAGGATGGGGTTTGTTCATTGATGTAGCTAAAGGGTGTCATTATTAAATGGTCTTAGTCATAGAGTGGTTTTAAGGTGAAAAGTTAAGGTCACTCCAGGAAGAGTGTATACATGAAAACACCACACTCATCTTGATTATCATTCATTTCTTAATATTTTAACCAGTTTCTCAAAGCTGGTTTGTAGATTCTCAATGCTGTGCATGTTGGTACTCAATAGCTGATTTAATGTTTGGTTTCTCAAACACAAAGGATTGCATGAAATGCCAAATGCTTGTTAGCTAATACTATATTTCTGTTTGTAGGTATCCAGAATGCTACCAGGAGGACTTTTAGTTCTTGGAGTATTTATTATTACAACTTTAGAAATGGGAAATGATTTTCAAAGTACCCTGCGTAGAGTAAGTCTGAATATCAAAAATTCTTAATATGATCAAAGTTACATCTTATTTTAATTGATTGTATATATGTATATATGCACAATGATGCTAGGCACATTTAGATGAGCATTCTATAATTCTTTATGCTTTTTTGAAATGAATCAAAAAAAAATAAAAAAAAATTTAAAAACAAATAAATAGAAAAATAAAAAAAAAAAAAAAAAAAAATAAAAAATTAAAAAAAAAAAAAAAAATTTAAAAAAAAATTTTAAAAATAAAAAAAAAAATAAAAAAGATTAAAAAATTAACTAATAAAAAAAAAAAATAAAAAAAAAAAACAATTAAATACAAAAAAATAAAAAAAAAAAAAAATAAAAAGATTTAAAAATTTTAAAAAAATAAAATAGAAAAAAAAAAAGAAAAAAAAAAAAAAAAAAAAAAAAAAAAATACTTCTCTATTCCTAAGACAGAGTATCTATCATGAATCCCCTGCTTTTTGCTTTATTCCTGTATCAGTGAATAGGGTAACAGTCTAGAAGTAAATATAAGAGTCCACAAGCTGTTTCCCCTTAAACCCAAACGGCAACTTGTTCCATTTTGGTAGGTTCAAAATCACTTTTTGTTTTTCATTCTAATTAAGATAAAGTTTTTGTTCTATACTTTACTTAAGTGTTAGTTGCCCAAAATTATATTTTCAAGTCCAGTTGATCATTCATGATGGTGAATTGTATTTTTCTGTTTAAAACCCAAATGTTATATATGCCTAAAAATGGTGTCCAAATGGTTAATGATCAATTTCACTCTTTCTTTTGAAAAAAAATTCAATAATAGAATCATGAAATTTTAAAGGTATATGGGAGCTTAGGAACATTAGAATTGTCTTTTTCTGTACTCACTTTTATTCTTTCGTTTGCTGTGTTTCCTCTTAGTTAGTGTTTGCTATGGAAAAATCTATTAATAGAAAGAGACTGTGGAATTTTACAGAGGATGATGTCGCAGAACGAGTGGCACTTCACATTTGTTCTTCTACAAAAAAGTATCCTTTATTTAGGTGTTTATGTTTTAATACCGAAATAATGTTCATGCAAGTTTTTTCCCAAACATTTATTTAAATCATCATTTAAAACATAGGCATAATTTGTAACTATTTTTGTAAATAACAAATAACTGGGACAGGTAATAATACTGGTAATAATGGTTGTTAATCACATCTCAGAGTTGTATAGAGTTTGAAAAAGGTGGCAAGGACTGGAGATTCTAAACTCTTTACCAACTACCTACCTCTGTACATTGGAGCACAGTAGGTCCCCTACAGCTGTAGATGCCCAACTGGCAGCTTAGGCAAAAGAAGGCTTTTATTATGTTGCATTTTCAGCTCTAATTAAAAATGTTCAATTCAAAATACAGGTGCATTGAGCTGGACTGTATAGGACATCCAAGAAATTTTTATGCTTCGGCCAAGATCAAGTGACACTAAAAGCTGATTATAGTACCTTCTTAGCTTCTTTCCTCTACATCTTGCCAGGACTGCAGAAGCTGGGCTTTTAACTCCTTTGGTATTTAACTAGAAATTTCATGTACAGGCTCTTTGACCTAATAAACATTCTCGGGTTTAACTCCATCCAAAACACTCCTAACAGCACTCCTACTTTTTACAGAGGGTGTGTATTTAAGGAAAATTTTGCAAGTGCCTCCATTCTAGTCATTGTGATTAGCAGGACTTTAAGCAATAGGAAATAGTTTAAAGCATTACAAGTACTATAGTCAGAGCAATTTATGTAAATATATATATATAAACACATAAACGTGTGTGTCTGTAATTGTATGAAGTGGTATGATTTTGTAAAACCTCTCTGATGCATACCCTTTATTTCTGTTTTTTGATGGTTTATTTTCTTTTCATTGTCAAGAATTGTTTCTTTCTGGTCATTCCTATCCTTAATTAGTAAAGAATATTTTGTCGAACATATGATGTCCGTGATCCAAAGGTAAGGAAATTGCTCTTTAAAGATTTTTATTTGTTGCAAACTGTTTTCTAAATAAAATTTAACTTTTTATTTAGTTTTAGTAAGTTTAAATGCTATCACTTCTATGCATGTCCCCAACTACCTATAGTATTTTATTTTTAATATTATGAATTTCATTACAGACAAGGAAAATTTGGTTTTTGAATTGTTAAAATATTTTTTGTTAAGTTCCCCCTACCTTGTCTATGTATTTAGTGTATTTGAAAGGCTGGTAGTAAAAGTGTCTTGGTAGCTCCAGTGCCGAGTAAGCAGGCTCTCTGTACTCAGCAGAATCCATACTAACATTTTGCTAAGGTTATCAGAAAGCAATGTGAAAAAGTAACTGCAGCATTCTGCTAGCAAGGATGGGACAGTAAGAGGAACGTCTGGTACCTAGTAGTTGCTCAATGATAATTTGCTCTACGTCAGAAGCTTCAGAATCTATACTGTTGAAGCTACAAATGAGAACTAGAAGACCAGAGGATTTGTCAGAGTTCTAAATAGGGAAATGTCTGATCCTTTTTCTTGTTTGGTGCTAGGGAAGGGAGTTGCCCGAGTGGCCTGGGATGTGCTGAAGAATACTGAACTTAATACATGCCTATTTTATTTAGGTCTAGCTTTTTGCTCCTTGATACAAGAATTTGGCCAAATATGTCAGATATCAGCTTGTATGAGTTATTAGGTTGTACATTTTATGATGTTTTATTGACATGTGTATTTTACCGAAATCACATATTTTGTTCTTTCTCCTTCCTTACTGCTTAGAGTTCAGCAAAACCAGCAGATTGGAAGTATCAAAATGGACTGTCAGCTTCATGGCTTTCTTTAGAGTGTACAGTTCATATTAATATTCACATCCCGCTGTCTACTACTTCTGTCAGCTATACTCTGGAGAAAAATACAAAGGTATCAGGGTAATATGAACTTTTTTTTAGTAATTGCTGAATACATAATCTGCTTTTATTTTAGTGATCTATGACATTCATTTTATAATCCTCAAAAGTTACATTCTAATGATAATGATATTGTTATGGATAACTAATTCATTATCCCAGCCAGATTAGAAATTTAGAGGTGGGACAATGTCCTAATACTAATGTATTTAGCATAACAGGTGCTCTCTAAATATTTGTTAGTTAACATGTAGTTACATATATTGTAAAATATAGTTATGTAAATATAATTATCAAAGAAGGTATTCTGTTTGGTCTTTCTACTTTCTCTTGGTCTTTAGTTTTATTTTCTCTTTTCTCCTTTGTTCTCTCTTCTTTCCTTCTTTGTATTTCGATACCATTCTTTTCTTCATATCTATTTCTCTTCTCTTTTCCTGTTAAAGGAAGCAAATGGAACTAGCTTATTTTTTCTCTTTAATACTGCTTTATGTATTT